CCCCAAAACCCCAAAACCCCAAAACCCCAATATTGGGCTTAAAAATTGCATCTTTAGAAAAATTATTATTGTAATCGGACGATGATCAGAAGAGATTTTAGGGTTTAATTCGAATTTTTGGCTAAGATTTGTAAATCTTGAGCACCTTACTGGCTCTGTTTCTTTAATACTATCAAAATTTAGATATTCTGAAGGAAAATATGAGTATAGAAGTCATAGAATCTTTCAATTGTTGCAAGAAATTCTCTTCAGTCAATAAGATAAAGAGATTAAAGATTACTTCTCCTGTGCATAAGCATAGTGAGCAGGCAATAGCTCTTAAAGATTCATTTGATTTTAAAGATTTTATTTATTTAAGAATTATCGGGATTTTCTTTTGACCTGCCACTTTCTCGAGATCCGCTTAATCCTAGTCCTTTCTGAGTCGGCTGTTTCCTAAGATGATCATGATTTTTATGAGTTGTATAAGCTTTAAACACTCCGCTGTGGTTCTTTGCTATAGATTAATAAGATCTCTCAATACAGGAAAAGTCAAGATGCCTACTAACATAACGATATTTACAAAAACGACTATAAAGGTGGTTTAAAAATGTTGAAATCAGCCAACTACCACGCCTGAAGCACAAACTGTTTTGATTAAATTTTCCCATTCATCAGTGTTCCAAAATTTACCTAGCTTCGGCGAGAGTGTGGGCATGGCTTTCCTTATACTACGATAGGTCTGCTTTATATTCACAGGCTTTGTGTGCTGCGTAGAATACCTATTTTGGTCAGGTAGTATTTACTCATTGGCATTGACATGACTACGACTGAGATTAGGGCTGATTCCGAGTACTGGTGTTCGATGAACTGTTGAGTTTTAAGCTGAGGTCCTATAGGGGTTAGAGGTACCGTACCGTACCTTGTTGATGATGATGAGGTTCTTGCCCTTGTTTGAGTGGAGGATTGTGCTGTCGAGAAGGTTCAGCTTATTTGGAATTGCTACGCACACGGGAAGAACTGTTTTGGAGTTGGATTCGCTCGTTGGTTGAAATATGACTGCTGGTAGAATCGTTTGACTCAAATAAATCTCTTCTTCCATAGCTTCTGTTTGCTCTGCTTAGAGAAAGATTTTCCATCTTGTGAATCTTGCGGTTATGGTTAATGTAAGGTAGCTGGTGCTCCTTTATCTTCCGTCTAAGCTTCCTTTTATGAGAGGAAATTTTATCTACAATGTGTTCGTGATAGCTCTATACAGTTATACTCTATCACAAACTGATTTTACAAGGGACTTAGATCTGGTACTCGGATTAAGATCCTTGGCTGGGCTGCGTTGCAGGTGATGAATCTTGTCAAAGTTTTGAATTATTGGTAGCTTTTTCTGACAATTATTTAGGCCTAAATTTGCCACATAAATTTTACTTTGATATATTCTTGCTCAATGGGAGATTCTTTAGTTGACTGGAAGTTATTGAGATACTGTTTTCAAGCTCTAGCTTCTTGCTCGAAGAGAATTTGGGAATGAAATGAACCATCTCATCCTTAATTGAATTCTGAAGAACCGGTTCTATAGCCTGAGTAATGGAACTTACTCGGTATGTAGTTCTTGGTAGAATCTAGATATGCATTGATACTTTTGGAGTTCTTTCTGCTATGAGAGCTTTGATAATCTAGTGAAGGAATTCTTCCCAGCTTCCTTTTCATTGAGATCTTCTTAATTTTGTTAGAGTAGCTCTTGTTAACTAGGAATTAAGTTTAATACCTACCTTCATGATCTAGAGACTCCGAAATGTCTACCTCAAGATATTCAAGGTTGTTCTTTATTAGTTCAAATCTGGACTTTTTAAGAGAAACATTGAGTACATTTTTGTTTGAGTGTTTGCCAAGGCTTGAATATGCATCTATCTGCTCTCTCCTAGTCTCATTTATTTCAGAGTTATCTCTGAAAGAAGTATCCTCATCTGGGGAGCGATCTCTTGGAGCTTCAGATCTTGAGTGTAAATTTATTTGTAAAGGATTCACAACCTGCTCCTTCTGTGGAGATATCGTTGTTTTTGTATTCCTTGATACAACCAGCTTCTTTTTGGAATTGGTAATTATTCTTGAAGTCCACTTCTTAGTGATTTTATTTCAAAGGATTTCTTTGCAAGATGGCCTCCTTTCTGCGACAACTCTGATCATTGACCTAATTATTTTCTCTAAACCAGAGCTATAACTTAGTGGGATCGGGTCAAAATAACCTTGGATGACTGACTTATATAATAAATCCATGCTAGAGGCATCAAATGGAGGTTTTTGGCATATAAGTTCATACATAGCACAACCAAGTGACCACATATCACTTTTATAATCATATGGCTGATCTTTCCACACCTCTGGAGAAGCGTAATATGGAGTTCCTGTTTGGGTAAACTCCATATTGTTTTTCATAACTTTAGAAACATTAAGATCGCCTAGCTTGACTTGACCATTACTGAACAGAAATATATTAGCACTCTTCAGATCTCTATGCATGATGCCTTGATCATGTAACTTTTTAAGACCTTTAGTGGTCTGGATCAGAATTCTCCATATTTCCTCCTCTGTGAACATTTTATTGTTATCTCTAAGGTTGCACATAAGTTGGTATGCATCTCCAGAGTCAGCATACTCCATCACAATGCATAGAGATTTATCAGACTTGTCTGTAAAGGTCTCATGGCACGTGATAATATTCGGATGGTTAATTGAGTTAAGAATATCAACTTCATTTAACGAATTTTCCCTTTCTTTTTGAGTCAGGTTGCCTATTTTGACCTTTTTCATAGCATACAATTGCTTAGTGGCTTTATGAAGAACTTTATAGACTATTGAGTATGACCCTTTGCCTAGTACAGAGATAATTTCATAGTCTGCGATTGACATTTAGAGTTAAGAATATGTTCAGTATAATTATTTTTATTGGGGTTTTGGGGTTTTGGGGTTTTGGGGTTTTGGGG